CTGTGTGCTCTTCTCCCGCTCATCTGTCTTTGTCGGTTTAACTGCCGGACCCAGCCAGGGAGCCTAGGAGGCTTGAGGAAAACTTTCCCCTCCCTACACTAGATGGAAAGATTTCCTTTTTTTGGAATCCGAACAGATGGCCATCCCTCTTCCCCATGAATCTGCCGGGTGACGGGGGGCTCATGACCACCCAGGGCAGCCGCCCTGTGGCTGACCCGTGGCACTCGGTCTGAACCAGGACCGCTGTGTGGTGAAGGGTGCGGCCTCCTATGTCCCCTCGCTGGGTTTCTGAGCCTCGTGGGCCAGCTATTCTCCCACTGAGATGCAGCTGTATGTTCATCACGCCATCAAGAGATCAGAGAGTAATTCTTATTTCAGAAGCACTTGTGGGAGCTAGACTCATGGGTCTGCCCTCCTGTGACAATCACCTAGATTATCTTCCTTCTAAATATCTGAGTTTTTCTTATAATATTATAATATTTGGAAGAAATAGGACTTCATTAATTTGAAGAAAATGCAAACAACTTTCAAGATGTCAGAAATCAGATCCTGAAATACGTCAAAATACCCCCAATCTATTAGGAACGTGTGGGTATACTGTAAACTGTTCATTTCCTTACATTTTGTTTCGAGATAGTTCCCTTTGGCTTAGAGGGCTTTAACGCTGCGTTCTGTCACCACGTGCGTGAGTCATAAGTGACGGGGAGAGAGACTCTGCCGAGCTCCTGGCAATCACCCTCCACTGCGCATGCGGACTCAGGAAGTGGTGGGGATGCTCGTATCAAATACATTTCAAAAAAATCGGAATGGTCAAAATCAGGTTGAACACTGCGTGAGGCAGTTAACATTAGAGAAACAGACATCCTTAGCTTTCTAGAAATACCTCCACTTGCCCCCTTTGTTCCCATTTTCACTTTCCAAAACTGGCTCCCAATCTACTAGCCTCTGTCCAGAGTGGCTTCTGAATGTGGATGGGTTTGGCAGAAGTCCAGGGGGACGCGGGGGTCCTGGGCTGGGGAACCCACCAGAACGACCTCAGTCAACTTCCAGGTGAGGGAATACCGCCAAGCTGGTCTCCAAACCCCTGGCGCACCAAGGAAGCCCTGGGGCTGCTGACAAGACAGAGGGGCTCCCAGGGGGTGTGGTAGGTGAGCCCCCATGTCCAGGTTCCGATCGGGGACCTGAGGGCAAACGATCAGGTGGGTGGAAAGGAAGGAGCCAGCGCTGTGGTGGTGGGCTTGCTGGCATTCCCCACCCCCACCCCGGGACCCAGGGCCGCCGCCCCACCCACCGCATCACCAGCAGCCCATCCACTGAGGCAGACCCCCCACCCGGGTGAGAAGGGTGGACATCCAGAATGAGCAGAGGGCGATTCCTTCAATTTTCTGAACAGTCATCATCACAATCTAAGTGCAACTCAAGTCTCCGTGAGTTGGGCCAATCCGGTGCGTAGATGGTGTGGTGTGACCGACAGGGATGCTTGGGGACAGAGATGGGCTGGCAGGGAAATCAAGCGTCCTGCTTTGCCCACTCTGTGCAGACCTCCGAGTGCAGAAATGCGGGGCCGAGTGGGGCACAGTGAGCGCATCTGTCTGGAGATCTAAATTTGGGGTCACCATTCTTGAATAAGTGAGCCCTGGGGAGACAGTACAAGGTGAATGAAAAGACTGTACCTGGGGGCAGTCGGAGACCCGGGGGCAGAGCAGGGCCCTCCGCATGGCCAGAGTTTCAAAAACCAGCTGGACCGCCACGAGGACAAGGAAGCTCAGTCCTTGTGGCAACCACGCATCAGACGGCGCTGAGGGCGGGACCTTCAAGTCCTGACCGGGCTGACGGGAGCAATCGGGTGCGGTGCTGGGTGGGGGGTACGCACACATGTTGAATGAAGGGTTTTGCTGTGAAGGGATCTGGGGTCAGAGATACCATCTGGTGTCAAGGGGTTTTTATTCAACAACATGGAAAATACCCAGTGTGTTTGTTTGCTGACAGTAGCGAGCCAGAGAAGGGGGGCCTGGTGTATAAACTGCAGGAACCAGCAAGGGCAGAGCCGGTACCTCTCACACCTGGGGAGACCCAAACACTCATTCCAGCTGGTGGTTCAGACGCAGGAGGGCGCAGGGCTCTGCCCCGTGCAGCGCACGTCAGGACCACAGACTGAGGGTGGCGGGTGCATGGTGCACAAACACCTGGGGGCGGCCGTGGAAGGAGAACTTTAAAGTCAGTGTTCTGGGCAAGTGAGCATCCTTGGACATGACCGTCTGGTGGTGTTGAGTGTTTGTCTGTGGTCTGCTGGTAGTGAGTTTGCAGTCTGTCGGCAAGGAGGGGATAGCAAAGCCAGGGAGACACGCCCGCAACCCAGAAATGGGGGGGCACATGGAAGAAGACACACATTCACACTAAAGCATGGATGTTCCAGACAACATGCAGCCGTGCTCCCTATTTGTGGACGGACGGGGGATGCATGAAAGAGGTAGTGATTCTGGTGGAGGTCCAGGGAGGTGAGGGTGAGCGCATTTGTAGGTCAAGAAAAAGCGACGGTGTGAGGCTCTCCAGACCTTGGTGTGAAGCTCGTCACCCGGAACGGACAGAGATGGCTTGCTCACCTCCGACAAAACCCAATGCAGGTGACGAGGCCACTTTGTCTTGAGAGGAGACGGTGAACCTTAACCCTCAGTGGACCCCAGCTTCCAGGGAAAGGGGAGCTCCACAGGTGGGAGGTTTGTCTCTCTGTTCGCTGCTGAGACCGGTCCTTAAACAGTGCCCGGTACACAGTAGGCGCTTAGTGCATATCGTTAGGATGAATGAGTGGACTGCCAAACTGCACAGGGTAGGCGCCTCTCAGTGTAGACACATGGAAACACTAAAGAAAATACATCCACTTAAAACCACACACAACTAAGACCAAAGAAAAGGAAGGGTAATCTCCAGATTCCAAAAGGAATGAAGAAATAAAGACGTGACGTGAGGGAGCTGTTACACTTGCTCTCAGAAGTCTGCGGCTTCACACAGGCCCCGGGTGTGGGGCGGGCTTGGGCGTGGGCTCTTGTCCACAGGAGGACCACGTGCACCCCCCGGGGGGGGCAGAACCTGGGAGAGTGGCCTTGTGGGAAGTGGACATCGGATGGTGCCAGGGCCGGCTGTGAGGGGCCGCAAGCCAGTGACCCTGCGAGGTGGAGACTGCAAGCACCTCCTTGGACAACAGAGGACACGGAGTCCTGTGGGGAGAATGGAGCCTGGGGGAGGAGGGCCTCACCTCACAGCTCGGGGGCAGAGGCTTTGGACAGGCGAGCAGACCAGCGGGAGGGAGGCAGGGGCCGCGGGAACAGGGTTTGGCCCAGACGCTGGGGAGGAGCGAGGACATGAAGTTGCAGCTCCCAGACCCTCCGAGTCCTCAACAGGCCACAGCTCAGGTTTCACGGAGGACAGTGTTTGCTGTCACGCTTCTGGGAAGGTCGCGCTCCACGGCAGCCAGCCCGTGGCCTCAGCCCTGGCGGGTCCTCTTTGTCCCGAAACCACGGGAGGCCATGTTTCCCTTGGAAGAGGAGCCCTGGGGCTTCGGGGGCTGGCCCCACAGTACACACCCCCGGGGCAGCGCAGCCAGCCTCCCACGTGGCCCACGGACCCTCGTGGGCAGAGGACTCGCGGAGCCAGAGCTTTCTTGGCCAGCAGCATTGGGGACGCTCTCCCCGGCCACCTGCCATGGGAACCACGTGGCACCAGAAGGGGTTCCCACCTGACGAGGACGGGACAGGACAGGAAAGCGGGGGCAGCACATCCAGAACCTTCCATCACAACTCCGACCCGCCGCCCTGTCGGGGCCTTTCTGTCACCGGCCACCGCGCCTTCCCCGGGCTTCGGCCGCTCTCCGGCCTCCCCGCCCCCACTGCGCTCACTACCTGCCAAGAGCACCACCCGCTGCAGTGGGGCAGAGTGGGATGTCCCGGCCTGATGCACGCTCCATGCTCTGGCCCCAGCCGGTGGGCAGGGAGAGCACCAAACCAGCAGAGTCTCGGTCCTGTCAGGTCTTTGCCGACGAGCTTCCGCCGGGCCCCCTGCACTCCGCCCGCCACATCCCTGCAACAGAGTGCACGGCACAGGCCGCATTCCCCGCAAGACTATTCCTACCCACCTACCGCTCAGGAAGCACTGGAGCCAGGCTGTGGAGAACAACTAATTAAGCACGTTCCTACTTCAAGGGCCAGGACTCTGGCTGCCGAATAGGAGATTCCCCGAGAAAGCAGCTCGTCTCTGAGTGGCTCTGTGGAGGATGTCTCTTGGGGAGCAGGGAGTACTCATAAATAAGCTGCCCCGTAAGAGCTAATTATCTGTAATCCCGAGTGCCGTGAAATCTAAACTCTCAAGCGCAATGGCACGATTGGTCTCGGTCTGCGCTGCCTTACGCGGGCCCACATACCACTCCTGCGAGGAACCACGTCCGCTCTTCTGCCTACAATTCATTAAATTGCCCCAAGACGGGGAACGCAAGCATCGGCCCGGCTTCCTGGAGGTGACTGACATCAGCTTTAATCGCTGATGGAGCATTTGGTCAAGTGCCTGTCTCTGAAACCAACACGGCCACGTGAGGGCACCACCGCTGTTGGACGAAGTCATGCCACAGAGCCTTCACGCGTGCATGGCGCCCTAACCCAAACGAGTCTGCCGACTCCCCCGAGAAGAGAAGAACCTCCCTCACTGGCTCGTGCCTACACATGTAGCAATTACAAAACCTCTGAAAAGGAAGCATGTGTTCTCTGAATAGCAATGTTTTCCTGACGCAGGACTGTTTTTTCTCAGGGAGAAAAACTGACCTATGATGGGTTCAAAGGCAACTCAAACCAGCGTCACATTAGCCGGGCACCGCGAACGGGTGCGTTCAAGCCACACGAGGAACCAGCCAACTGGCCTCCCCTAAGTCAGCATGCCGTCACCTGGCCTGTCCGCGGGCCTGCCCCCTGGCTGCCAACCACGCGCATCTCGGAGGGCAACCCTCCACTACTCACCGACCCGCTTCCAGCGTGAAGAATTTTCAGTCCAGACGCCTTTTCCAGTTTGTCCTTGTTGTCAACTGTGAGGAAAAGTTAAGAAGTACAGGGTCAGCGTGCAGAGCTAATTGTTCTCAAGTCACCCTGAGCATTCCCCTCTACTGGGAAACATTCCGTTAAGTCACTGCGCGGACGGCCTGATTCAGCCGCCAAGCTGGAAGCCAGTCTGGCTGGTGCACCTGAGCGTGAGGCCCTGCTCCCCACTGGAGGCGATGCACGGGGACGGCCTTCCTGCGGGCCTTCAGCTTCATCCACAAACGTTATCCCAGGGAACCCACAGAACTGTTGTGAAAAGTGCATGAGACATAGTACGTGGACATTCTTTGCAGACGGTAGAGTCTTACTTTCGAATGATATGCTGGTTATTCAGTGTGTTATCATTGGGAAATGGGTTTCATTAACTAGCGTCCCGAGCGCACAAGAAAGACTCACTGGACGGCAAGCCCGAGTGTGTGCATGCACCTCTGTGGTGCTCAGAGCTGTTCTCTGTGCTACCCGTCCCCTAGAGGAGACATTCCACGACAGTTTAGCTCCAGTACAAGCCTCGTCCTCATGTGCTCCTGACTTAGAATGAGGAAGACTTGCAGAGGATGAATTACCCTCCAAATCAGACCAAGAGAAATGAGCTCTGGAAACAATTAGCAGATGTAAATGAAAGCTCAGTAATCCTAATGGCAGCACCGCAAACCCACCTGCCCCCACTCTGTCGAAAAGAAGTGGTGTCACAGAGCAATTGACCTTGGCTCAATCTGTAGAAATAGTCTTCCGGATAAAGCCCATGTCACTTTGGAAATGAAAACCAGGAAAAACAGAGTTTTATTGCAGACCCTAAGAATGGAGAGTGCCTTCGAACCTTGAGAGACTATGGACTCTGAGAAACAAACTGAGGGTTCTAGAGGGGAGGGGGCTGGGGGATGGGTTAGCCTGGTGATGGGTATTAAGGAGGGCACGTTCTGCATGGAGCACTGGGTGTTATGCACAAGCAATGAATCATGGAACACTGCATCAAAAACTAATGATGTGATGTATGGTGATTAACAGAACAATAAAAAAATAAAAAAAAGAATGCAGAGTGCCTTGCCATTGTGGTTAATGCCGAACGAGACCAAGAAAACATCGATTACTCCACCTCTTACTGCGTCCCCCCCATTAATTGGGGTGATGGCGTTCTATCTTGTGCAGGGATGTGAATGAGATCCCCTTACAGCCCGCCTGCCTCATCTGGGGGCCTTTCGTTGTCTTCTAGAAAGTTTTCCCCTTTGAACAAACGCACATTATTTTTACATGCAGGTAATCATCCCCACACTCTGAAAGGATGAGGCAAACACACCCCTGTCTGGTTCAGAGCCTCACGCTCGGGTGCGGGAGCAGGGGGTGGGGCGTGGTGAAGCGGCGGCCCAAATGGAAACCCTGAATGGAGAGCAGTCTTCAAGAGAGACAGTACAAAGCAATCGATTTTAATGTTCTTCTGTGAACAAAGGAAACGTTTTGCTGAATGGCAAGCTACTTTTGGGGGGAATAATAGTGAACTCTTAAATAGGCTGAAGAACAGAAAGCACATGAAAATATAATTTAAAAAGTACTCCATTGGTTGCCACAGAGCAGTGACAGGTATTCCAGCCGGCCCAACCACAGCAACGTAGGGAATGCACTCCCAGAGTCAGCAAACCTGCTCCAAGGGGGCAGGCGGAGACCTCCACGCTGGGTGGCCGGGGGCTCCACCTGCCCCCCAGTGAGGAGGCTGCCGGGACCCTCCTTAAGGAAACCGTCCTGGTTGTGTTCCAAGGAAACGTCCTGTCGAGGCGGCGGGCATGTCTCCACCCGCACCAACAGGAGGCCGAATGCTGGCGGTTCTCTGCCCAAATGCCTGCTCGTTCACGGGTTTGCCGGGGAAGTTCGGACCCTCCCGCAGAGCAGACAAGCCCTCCCCTCATGTCTCCGTGGACGCACGCAGGCTTGCCGACCAGTCCCTCAGGCCTAGGCACTCCTCTGAGCCCCAGGCCCTCGGGCAGGCCCTTTCCCCGCACCAGAAATGCACTGCTGACCTCAGCTCGCTGGACGCAGCATCACCTGCCAAGCACCAAGCCCCCAGGTGCCAGAGACCTTCCCGGGGACTCCCGCTCACAGCCACGCACATCTTCGAGCCGCGCTGTGTGGGCTCACCATACGCCCAGGAACTGTCGAGCCGTGGTGTGGGTGCCACGTGGTTACCCTGTTTTCCCACCGCCCACAAACAGGGATGCAAATGCTCAAGTGTGCAGAGAACAGTAAAATGTAGTGAATGAGCCAGGTACCGGGTCCTTCTGTTTTCAACGTCACTTAAATGTGTGTAAAATGTCATTTTTCACAACTGGCTCACAAAATCTCTAGAAACATGGCAATGAGCCCCAGTAAGCGGAGAAAACCGGCTCCAGCCCCGCTGTGGAGAACTCTGTGCCCAGGTTAGGGACCGATGCGTCGTGATTCCCTGACTGCCTCACGCATGGACACGGCACCGTGCACGCTGGGCATCAGAACCCACATGCAGAGGCCTACGCCTTCCCACTCCTACCAGACGGTTTTCCACTGCCACCTTCCGACCAGCTCCAGAAAGTTCTGGAAGGGACATCGGCTGCCCGGCAGGCTCTCTGCGAAACACTGTGTCACCAACACGGACGGAAGACCATGGGCACCGTGTTGGGAAATGGATCAGGGAAAGCCCGACCCAGGGCTGTGCTCAAATGTGTGTCTGCCGTCTGCACAAGCGGATCTGGGCTCTGGGACAGCGCACTGGTGTGCACAAAGTGACCCTGGTGATCAGAAAGTATCACATTACTGTGTCATCGTGGTCTTCGCTTTGTCGTAAAGCAAAGTCATGGCCTCTGAGACTCGGTGAAGCCGTGGGGCAGCGGCACCTGCTTCCCCGGCTCAGGAGATGCCACCACCCCAGGGCCTCTCAAAGCTGCCTGACCTTTTACAACGGAGTTCACTCAGTTCACACCAATCAGCACTGGAGCCAAACAACCTGAGCCATGGAAATGACGCTGCTTCCACAGTAGTAAAGGTTTTCTAGTAGTAAAGGTGCAGGGGCTGGCTCACCGTCCCGAACTAACCCAACCAGAGTGTACGTCCAAGTCCAAATAACCAAATGACCATAATAAAAACAGCAGTAAGACTGTGGCCTGCCAGGTACTGAGGACGCGCGCTGCTCATACCAACCTCGTTAATCCTTAGAACCAGCTGCAATTTAGATCTGGCGTGGTCTCCATTTCAGAAATGGGGAAACTGAGGAAGCCCAGTGGGTGGCACTGCCCAGAGCCGTGGGCAGGTCTGACTCAGGCGGTGCGGACCCACAGCGCGGGGGGCTGCGCGTCTGGGGGGAGGGCACGGCGGGGTGGGTGTCTGGTGAGGACCCCCTTCCCAGCTTGCATACCGCTGCCTCCCAGGAGTCCACTTGCACGTGATGGAGGGGCTCTCTCTCCCTCTTCTTATGCAGACCCCAACCCTGCTGGATTGGGACCCCACCCTTGTGACCTCGGTTGATCCTTACTCTCCCCATATCTCCAAACACAGTCAGACCGGGGTAGCGTTTCAACATGTGCGTTTGTGGGCACCCCCCGGCCCCAGCTCAAGACCAGTCACGCCCAGTGACACCTGCAGGCTGACCTGTTCCGACTCCACACCCTGCCAGTGGGCCGGTAGGCAGGCCAAGGAGAGAACCGGGGTCACCCGGAGCCCCAGCAGCACAGGTAGGCCCCTGTGGAGCCATGGCGCTGAGGGGGCTGGGAGCCTCCCGGCACGGGTCCCCTCAAGCCTCGGGAGAGCCCTGCACCACGCTGAGGCTCCCAGGACTGTCAGGCTCCCCTGGGCACCCTGCTGTCCCCATCCCCCTTCTCTGTGCTCCGTCCGCGGCCACACCTGCCCCTGGGGGACTGCCGTCCCGTGACGGCCCCCAGCCTGCCGCCTCTGGCTGAGCGGGGCCTCTGCACGCTGGGTGCCCTGGGCTGGCCTCACTGCTTCCGTGGGCCACCGGTCTCCACCCTCAGAAAGACACAGAAATCATGCGGAGCTGCTGGCCCCAAACTCGGCACGGACAGGGCAGCCTGCCGCTTCTTGTCCAACAACATTTCCCCAGTTTATGCTTCTAAGTCCTACGCGAACCTGTTCTCAGGAGAGCTTCTCTCCAGGCCAGAGCCTGGAGCCACACACGCGGCTCAGGAGCACCTACTGACCCCCTTCGTGGGTCACTACCAGCCACGCCGCAGGGCGGTTTCCACCACGTCTTCCACCACGTCTGCGGTCAGACCGGCTGTGGTCCCGTGCACGTTACTTCGCCTCACCTGGCCTCAGTTTCCCCTACGGAAACTGCATCAGAAGCTTCACTTCCCGAGCAGCGGGGAGGATGACGGTGCTGTGCACACCCCAGCTTGGCACACGGCAACAGTTTATTACTTGCTTTACCGAATGCGTAGCAGCCACCGTCTGTTTGCTCACTGCTCCAAAATGCCAATAACCTCTGGTCTCCAATACAATCAATGTTGATTGACGCTGCTTCTGTTTGCTGCAGAGGCCCAACACCAGCGAATGTGCCGGGTGGCCTGGGTTAAGGTCTGGCTTCTGTGTCAGCGTCACTGTCTCCCTGAACCCCCTGGTCTGAGCTTCGCTTGCCCTGTGAGCCACAGGGACGCCCGTCCTCTTCTGCGTGACGCACCTGCTCTCTCTGCTGCTTTCCCTCGGGGTCTCCTGCTCCGTCCGCCACTCATAGTGAGGACTTGAGATTCCTCAACTTCACATCTCGGTAAAACCATTGTTTCCTGGCCTTTCCATACCTTTGAATCAGAAAATCAAGAGGTGGGTCTGATAATCTATATTTCCTAAAAATTTGCTTCCATCCCTCATCACTAGGTAGTTTTTAGGATTAGCCAGGTTGAAGTGCTATTGAAGAGAGAATTAGTGTCTGTCTGCTAAATCGTCCGCCCATCAATCCATCCATCCATCCATCTAGTGCTCTCCGTGTGCGGCTGGGTGGCGTGCCAGTTGTTGG